TTGTCGTCCATTCCTTTTGTTTCTCCATGATTTCTTTCATATTTTGTCCTGTATAGAAGACTTTAACTTGTCCGTTTGACAGCTACCTTGTCCCAATTACTTCCTTCATTCCAATCTAATTCACCAACTCTTCACTCGAGAGCTTGGCAATTTCCTTCTTTTCGTCTTCACTTTGTATTCTTATTGTGCTGCCTATTGACTGCGGCTAACTTGCGACATTAGCCCTGGACTTTCCCTGGACACGAGTTGGAAGATTGCTATGAGCAATGGATGTTTTAATGGATAGGACTTCCTGAAGTATCTTAGCCATTATCGGAGTTTCAACTGCTTGTGTGGTTTGGGAGGAATATGGGGTTTTTTTATTTCCTGTAGACTTTCAATTAACTCAACAGCTTCTTTTAGAGCCAGAATATAAACTCTAGTTGCCAGAGGTTCTCTATTAATCAACTCATTGATTAATTTCAACACCGCGTTGACATTTACAGGCGTGTTGTCAGCCTCGCCACCGTCTTCCATCAACTTGCCATTCGATTTACTGCCGCTATCATTAAAAAGGTGGACTGCCATATTCTTATAGCTACAATATCAGTTAAATCTGATGTGGTCAGATTCTCCGAAATGATGATCTTATTTACTATTTTGAATTTGATTTCGTTTAACCCAATTTGGCGCCTTAAGGCCCATGCAGGTGTCTACGAACTCTAATATTTATATGAGGAAACCTTTTTGGTAAAAACTCCCTCAACTTTTCAATTTATTTACACTCTAAGGTTGTGTTACCTTCAAGAGGTGCACTAACACCGTTGTGTCCAGTGCGGATACCGTCCACTTCATTGCTACTGGCAGGAGATCATCTTTCCTTTGCTCTCTTCTCTCTCCCTCATCGTAGCCTCGACTTCAACAGTCAGTCGAAACTGCTCTAACCTTCCTTCCTGCTGGATCCATCTTGTTATCCTTGCCATATCTGTGGGGTTGTTCATCATGGCCTCAAATGACCGGTTCTCTGCCTTACTTAGTATTTCTCATCTTCCTTTGGCCCAGCTGGTGCAGGCTATGATCAAATGCTTCACATTCTGGGACGGATATCCACATTCGCATCGTGAATTATCTACTCCTGAAACTTTTCTTCTGTGTAAATAGGAATTGAACCCAATATGTTCGCTTCTTATCTGAATGGCTATGCTGCTCTAGGCCCTACTCAGGTGTTTATGGTTACTGGAAGGTGTTCCTCTTTGGCTCATGCCTGTCTTTCCCGTCTTTTCATCTGTAAAGATATTAGCTGCGTTCCATATTTTGAGATCTGCTGTCGCTTGATGGTTATTAGGCTGTTTTGCTATCAGTTTCGTCCAGGATCGTTCCCATTCTCTGAAAGCTGAGACCTTTTCAGCCACTTTCCGTCGTTCTTTTGTAACTATATTCTCACATGTTTGACCCCACTCCGCAATATCAAAGGTCCTCGTGATAACTAGTGCATCTTGCCTTCCAGCTCGGGGTTGCTAATCTTCCTGCAGGCCAAGCTGTAGACTATCATATCCCTGATTGCAGCAGCCGCTCTTGAGTACTTAAGGAAGGTCTAGGACTGTATTTTTCTGTGGCTTTATGTCTTATAATTATTCTAGACTTTAGATTGATCCGATTATCATAAGCTTTACCTTGTGCGCCGACTCCGACCCATTCCGCCTATGTCTAGTTTCACCTTCGTCCCGTGCCGACCCGTGTCCGCCGGACTAAGCCAACGATCCTGACACTTTTTGCTGAAATCTTCTAATAAACCACGATTTATGTGGGAGGAATTTGACGCAACTTGTAGAGACCTATGCAACTTTTCTGATCAAGGGGAATCTGCTATACTTTAATTTGAAATTAGAGTGGCGGAAGGCTGGTTTATTTTGTTATGTTCATTAACGTGGTGGGTAACGTCACTACTGTCGCACTCCTACTGGAGCTTAAGCACTGGTGGGGCCGGGCTTATTCAGGTTAACTACCATTAAACACATCTACCTCTACCCACTTAAATGACCGGGCCACCTCAGACTTCACCCACATGTTGAATCATGTCAAGTCCAACCGTCTAGAGAACCCTCTTTTGACGCGCCGAAGCGCAAATTCCTCCCAGCCTCGGCCACCACGCACCCGAGCCCTTGACACCTTCACGATCTGTAACTTATCCATTCGATCCATACCCAGCTTTGGCTCACCTCAGCATCTGCTCATCTCATCCAGGGGTCGTTTTCTTCAGTGGAGGCCCTATCCAGTCGCCCACCAAGGCCTCCTCAGTTTTTATTCCCTTCATGTAGCATCCCTCTGTCCCTCAACCGATATCGTCATCCAAGAAACTTTGTAGAATATCCACCCCCCGGCCTTGCCCCGTCGCTGCCGTACCCCTAACTGTGGAGGTCGAAAATGTGACTGAGAGCTCAAGACCGAGGCACCGATGCCCAGGCATTTGACAAACGCTCTAGTCGGTGTGCCGTCGAAATGTCGTACGTATTTCGTCGGTGGCGATTCTTGGCAGGTCGAGTTGTGTTGGAAATATCGCGCAATGAAATGGGCGTAATATTCGTGGAACGAAAGTAGAAGCTGACTAAAAGAGTGTCATGTGCGGGTTAAAGCTAAAAGTGTGGGAGATGTGCGCTACAAGTACAAATGTAAGCGACACAGAGCCTAAGCCACACCATAAACGAGTGTGGCGCCATCTTGGCATCGAAACCCCCCAATAACCTCTCTGCGCCCACGCCATACAGTCGCTAATATATCCAATAGGTAGCCTGAAGCGCTACCATATTAACTATTCCAACCTCTTAAATACACATAAGATCGTGTCGGGAGCCTAGACGAGATGGAGGGCCCGTACGTCCACAACACTGCGTGTCTCCATTTCCAACAAGTTTTTGGTGCCCTTGGCCGAGGTGAGGACGCATTTAATGCAGGTGTTTCGACAGTACCTTTACGGAGACTGGCAGTTGCGGAGGGTCGGACATCCTCTCGCTTCTTTTTTGGCGATTTGACTTTTGGAGGTACGGGATTGCTTTGGTAGGTGGTAAGATAATTGTGGAGAGGGCCGCGAGATAAGTTTGGCTGGGAGAAATTTTGCAGAGAAAATAAAAACAGATCTTGAAGGTGTCGGTTGTTGTAATACGAACATCAGATAGGTTTTAGCCTGTCTGCGGTTCGTATCTAGGGTCTAGATGGTTGATTTCGTTGAGTTGTGCAGTCCTGAAATCTCTGCAAGTCGGATTTTCGACCAAAAATGAGCAAACACCAACTCTCCCAATCGCTAGCTCGACAAATACTCTCAAATACATCCTTTGTTGTGACTGAATCTCGGCTCTGGGAGAATATTTCACTCCCGGGCTCGTAGAGGACACTACTAACAGGTGATTAGAGTTCGTCCTCCTGGTGGACAGCTTGACAGGCTCTTTTTTAGCTTCTAAATGGTTTAGGGCGTCTGGTAGTTCTGTGGGGATTGAGCCGTCCGGTTCGTGACAATAATCATGAGCTGTGCACTAGCACGACGTTAAGTTAAATCAAAGTCAAACTCACGAATCAATACGATACTAAATTGTCATATTAGGTATAGATTTTTCAATAAATCTTTAACGGAATTTACCTATCGACCAAAAGTATTTTGAATCTATTTGTGGACAGATTCTCGAAACCGTTAAGCTACAGAGATCGGAAAATCTTGTAAGTAACAGATGTTAGATCATTCAGTCCTGTTGGAGTGCATATCCTACAATAATCTTTGACACATACAGGATCTAAATGAAAAAAATAAAAGCAGCAGAGGTCAAGTCGGTTTCGACGAAGAAAAGTTATCGAAGGTTCGAAAGTACAACTTAATTACGCATCCATATATTTAAAATATCAAAATATCAAAATATCAAAATATCAAAATATCAAAATATCAAAATATCAAAATATCAAAATATCAAAATATCAAAATATCAAAATATCAAAATATCAAAATATCAAAATATCAAAATATCAAAATATCAAAATATCAAAATATCAAAATATCAAAATATCAAAATATCAAAATATCAAAATATCAAAATATCAAAATATCAAAATATCAAAATATCAAAATATCAAAATATCAAAATATCAAAATATCAAAATATCAAAATATCAAAATATCAAAATATCAAAATATCAAAATATCAAAATATCAAAATATCAAAATATCAAAATATCAAAATATCAAAATATCAAAATATCAAAATATCAAAATATCAAAATATCAAAATATCAAAATATCAAAATATCAAAATATTAAAATATCAAAATAGCGGTTTAGAAAAAACCCAATTATCAGATAAGCCAAAATGTTTTGACTAGAGGACAAATCCAGGTTTCCAGCCTGAGTAAATCTAAGTTTCATTGGCTCAGCCCTAACCGAATTAAAAAAATAACCTCTGCAAAATTACGTCCGGTTTAATTGCTACAAATTCATAATAAAAAAACACAAACCTTAGGTTAATGAATCCCTCTAATAATTCTTTTTGATTTCGGTTCAGCTCATAACCTTTCCTATGATACCTCATCGTTCTAATCAAATAGCCTACACCCTGGCGCCATAGTCCTACGAACTTGCTACTGCCATAAGCATTCTGACCACATTACGCAACTTGATGACGAAAGCCCGGCACCAAATAACTCACGTTAAGTAAAAATTATTTAAATGACTTGAAGGAATGTAGCAGAGCCGAAGTAAAGGGACCGAACGATACTAGGGGAATCTACATATTTGACTAGGGCTGATGTCAATAGTCCCTACGCTTTGCACCTCAAGATTCTGAGATACTGAGATGTCCTTAAGTTTGGTTGATAATTTGATGCAGTGATAGAAGCGTCAAAAAGATAGTGATCTTATCATGAGCTATATTAACCATGCTGAATCAATGATTACCCGGCAATGGATGGAAATATAGAAGACATCAGGCTCAATTACTGAAGATTGGAGTTCGAATATTTTCGAATAAATTTTATCTACCTCGTCATGTGGTTATTGCCTTTTGTTTTTGGCTCAGCTCTTGCCTCATTTCTTGCTTTATCCGAGTCACTGTCCCGGCCCCTCCGTAAACCATGGCCGTGTATATTTGAGCAACACTAGCTCCGGCATTAAGGATTTCTAATGCCTCTTTTCCATTCGTAATGCCTCCAGAGGCAAAAATTACTTTTGGTTCAAAGCTGTCTGAATTAGACAGCTTCTCGCTGTTTACATGATTTGAAGGGGGGCCTCGATCCAGAAGATCTCGATATCTTTTAACGAGGCGCAAGGTTCGATTAAACAACATGGGGCCTGAAAGTCCACCTTGCTCCTTCAGTATCTCTTGGTCTTTTGGTGTAATGGGTGCTTTATCTGGTACCGCTATATCTCTTCGCCTAGTGGTATTACTAACAATTACTCCATCTACACCACTTTTCCATATGGCATCGACAATGCCAGCAACTTGGTCTTCCCCATCCTCATCGGGTGAGACTTTCACCATAATTCTTGGAGTTGTTTTTCGAGGCACTAACTTTGCAGCCTCAACGATACCTCTGAGAAGTTCGGTTAGAATATCACCCCGCTGTAATGTTCTTAGACCTGGCGTGTTTGGGCTACTAACGTTTACCACCAAAATATCGGCGTATTGGGCAACCTTTTCAACGCAGTAAACATAGTCTCGTTTTGTAGCATCAATATCGTCTTCATTCGTATCTCTATTCTTGGCAATCTGAACGGCTAGAAGTTTTCCATTTTTTAGACTTCCCGGTGGTACTCCGGCTCCACCGTTGAGAACGAAATCTACGGCTTCTGCACTTGATCCATACCCGTTTTTGTAGGCAAAATTCTGAACCCGTTCTCGTAGGCGCTGCGCCATATCTTCAGCTCCCTTTCCTGCGAGACCACAACGATTAATCAAGGCGTTATATTTAGGCAGTTTGAAGACACGCGGCCTTGGATTTCCCTCTTGAGCGAAAGGCGTTACGCCACCAACCTCGACAACCGCCGGTCCAAGTGCAAATAAGATATCTGGTATTTCAGCAAGCTTATCAACACCAGCTGATGTACCGATAGGGTTCGAGATTACCCGATTAAATACTGATACACTAAGATCTGCATCCTTAACGCCCGTAAAGAGCGGGTTCCTTTCCCTAGGATGTAGACCTAGCGAGTAGAGCCCCCGGAGTATAATGTTACCATAACAATGTGCATCTTCAACGTCAGGATAGATCAAATTAAGCATTGGTACGGCTAGCCAGCGATGTATACTCGCGCGAGTATCAGTAATGTAGAGAGCTCCAGCCGTCATGGAGAGCAGAGTTATAGAAGTATACCAAATTAGTTTAGGAGCTTGTGATTTTGGCTGGGAAGTTGTCGAGGATAAGCAGCGGAGAGGTCTTGGAGAGTAGAGTAAATTTTCTTTCGAGTTGGCCAGGACATTTCGTCGAAGACGGGCCCGAGATCCATGGAGGCAGCGCAGAGATATACTGGCCATCTTGTAACAAATTAGAAGTCACAATAATTAAGGCCGATTTAATATCCTGCTATGATACAGTAACGTTAGCTGGTAGAAATGCAATGATGAGGTACTTTACTTCAATCTCCAGGAATTTCAGGGACTTGATATCAAATTTAGAATGTTTTAGCAGTTAAGACTATCTGGAATTGGGAACAACATGCAATTCTACTAATGCACTGTGGTTCACGTATGCGGCCGGAGCACACCTTTTATTCCTGGGTAGGATCATAGTTCGAGTGATTTAATCGAGTCGTGCGTGTCTAAAGCTCGTGACCTTAGTCACGTATAGGACGACCCAGTCTCTACAGAACTACCCGACGCCCTTGCTCGCCCTACTTCCCAAGATGCTCCCCGAGTATCACGGGTGGATCTCGTCGTATCGGAATCACAACCAGATAGGAGATACGCGAGAAAGAGGTACGAATGGAAGTGTATTAATAAGGCTTGCATAATCTATTCTGGAGTACAACTACAGTCTCTTATGGGTTGAAATTGTTAATTTGTCAAAATTACTGGGGCAGAATCCCTGTGCATATTGATTGGATTGGTTCTGTCTTCATGCAGGCCCATTTCTAGTTTATCGACTAGCCATGTAAGCAGGGGTAATATCCAACGATAGTCTGTGAAAGTCTAAATTATGGGGATGGTTTTCAACTCTCAAGGAAATGTGAATCGGTCCTCATTTAAAGTTCAAAATTAAAAAAATCTATTGATATTATCTAAAAATACACATCTATTTCAAAAATAATTGCTCTTTATTACAAAAGTTTACATCAAAGCCCTCAGTATGGCTCGCATCTAAAATGAAAGCGTACTACATGTTTTGTATTAGTCTGCTCCATCCCAGTACTATGTGCACCTTCCATTTGCCTTTATCACTGCTACACATCTTTCGTGCATGTTAACTACACCTAACAGAGGCTTCTTCCGAGCAATGCATCTGCTGTAACTCATTTAATTGAGGGTATTTGAAAGTTAATGCTCGGTGCATCCCCAGTGGCTGAAGGATCCCATTGCTAGTTCCAAATAGCACATTTGTCGATTTTCAGGAGATTCCCGGACGAAAGCCTCAAGCTCATCAACTTGTTCCGCGCTTAATTTAGGTGGGCATCTTTTGCGAGGTATAGGATTCTCAGTCTCTCGAGCACACGCAAATTGCACTTGCCTTCTTGTGAAGCCAAGTTCGTCGAATATATGTTGTAAGGTTAAGCCAAGTCTTCTTAATTTTCCTATTTCAATCCATTGATCGCGAGTTAGATGCCTGCAAGCTTTAGTTTCTGGAGCAGACTTTTCGAGAGACATTGTGTGCTAGAATAGACGATGAATTGATAGTGATGTCAAGAATCAAGGGCTTTATTTTTTATTTTTTTTAGGTCCTAAGCTATGCTCTATATCTCCTAGGAGTCAAGGAACGGTGCACACGGCCGAGATTATGCTTCCCACATGCCCGACTCGGTATCACCGCGCGATCCACTACACAACAAGTAGCTAGTTATAAGAAAGAAAATAAATGCTCCCACAAACTCCCATAACCAAAATTCCAAAACCCCATAATCCTATTTGTGGTTGGAAAATGACAATTCTCGCCTCATTTTCCTACCTGTCATGCCTCGTGCTGTGATCTAGTAACTGCCGTCTACGCGAAGAGCTGGAGATGGACTCGCAGGTGGACCCCCGAAGCAGCCAGTTTCCTGCGCAAATTTCGTAAAGTGTTTGAGGCACCTAGGCACGAGAAGCTCGTGGACAAATTCGTGATGTGACATTGTCCCTCGTAGTCGACGCGTCTGGCGTGCGTGCAGTCGACAGTGAATGAAGTGGAGAGGTGATGTTTCCTCACCACACGCATACTCCATTGAAGCGGCGAAGTTTTTGACACGGCGGTGACATGTCGCAAAGTTTCCGTGGCCCGTACGGGCTGAGATTAGTTCACGGAGTAACCGCCGGGGAAGTGTCTGCTCGCGTGGCTTGCGTCGTCGCATAAGAAGAGCCAGATTTCGATACCTAGGTGGACATACTTCTTTCCACCAGTCGTCGAGAAGCGCTTGACGTTTCCGGTTCATGAGCCGACGAACGTACGCCATTTTGACGGAGTCAGTCTGGCTGTCTTTGCTTGGCAGTTGTCGAAGGCCGGAGCGTGCGGCTTTATCGGCCTCTTCATTTCCTTGTATCCCGGAGTGGGCCGGTATCCACTGAACCGAGACTCGGGCATTTTTTGATAGCGCCCTAAATTGGCGTACATCGTGGAGGCTTGTTGTTGAAATTCCCGTCGACAGTGCCTTCACTGTAGACTGACTATCCGTCAACACATTGATTCACTGCCTATCTCCCCTGTTGAAATATGATATATCTCGGAATGCCAAGAATAACTTATTTGTCAGTCCGGCGAATTTGACTATCAAATTCCCCATTCTATATCATTGTTATCAATACATCCTTCACCGAAAGTTTAATGCGCATTAGCGTTTATTTCACACTAGCATTCCAGCGGATGACTATGTCTCAAATGCAGGTTACAGTTTTGTCGTATCTATTACCGACACACATGTACTTAGCTTTATATTCCTGGATTATATATGTTCATATACATAGATCTACAGCTACAGGGATCATAACTTACGATCCATGGAGATTGATAAATACTAGTCAAAAACCACAGTTGATAAGATATGCGAATACGCAACCTCACTCTTATCATCTCGGTTTTACACTGAACCATACATCTAAATACAATTGTTTCCAATAGAATCTCCCTCTCACAACTTCATGCAATACTTCCTGTATCGGTCTAAACGCCGACACTGATTCCGCTCTAACCTTCATCTTCGCTCAAGCTCATAAATTTAACATTGCCTTCCCCCGTTCTCCCTCTCCGACAATACCAGCGCAACTTCCAGGGCCTTTCTCGCCCCTAAAATTACCGCATCAAGCACTTCGCCACCATGCTTAATGCCACATCCCTTCAACAGTGTTTTTACATCCCTCTTCAAGACAGACCCCCATGCCGAACGACTATGACTCTCAGATGATCCATCCAGGTAGGCACAGATATCTAATGCTTGCATAATGTGCAAGAGCCGGGCTACCTTGTCCTCTTTCTCTATCCTTGGGTTGAAACTCGAAAGATAGCATGGGGGCATTAAAGGCTCGGCGTCTTCCGCAACCGGGAGTTCTCGGTAAGCCCACTGTACTTCTGACATATGTATCTCTGGATTCTTGGGTGCCCGAGAACATTTTTTGTACTTCCATGTTCCCTCTTTTGGACACACGGCGGTGCGAGTCCGGAGCGGGTGACGGTTGTCTAGTGAGTAGAGCCGAGCCGAAAGCCGTAGTCGGTTCCCTTCCAGAATGATCTTCCCTGTTTGGATGCCTCCTTCGCGGTGGAGAGCAGGGTTCGGTGTCATTCTCATTTCCGGGATGTGCGATCGAGCGCAGGGGTTGCGATGTGGTTTAAGGTGACTTGGAACTCAAAGCATGACTGTAATTAGTATCACAGGATGCCTCTGGAGTTCGTTCCTAATCCTAACAGGAAACTCCTAATGTCACATGCACGCTAATACATGATTACATAATAAGTTCCCACTAATCTTCTCCACGCAATGTCCCGTGACCTGGACACACAGGGAGGGCAGCGCGCAGTCCGGTTCAGGTTGACTTATCGATCATCTCGCAGAAAATGCTGGTTCGGGGTGTGATGACTCCCCTTCTGGTCGGATGTTTGAGGCCGGGCCACCAAATATCTGCTCCAAAGATTGCTATGAGGACAATGCACGTGTCCACTGCTCGAACCTTTTGAGCTAGTTCGGAAGCTTTAATGATTGAGACAGGAGGTATCTGAAAGAAGAGCTCGCACAAGAGCTTTCAGTTGAAGTAATTTAAAAAGATGTAATTGTCTGTCTTTCTTCCTCTTTCTCTCAGCTTATATATCTACACGTATCTACTACCTGACATATGATAATAATATCTAGAAATAGCTTCTTTACATCACAGGACACGATCCAAACATGTTGTAGCCATGATGTAATCCTAAACCGACTCAATACCAGTCCACCACGTCCGTTGCACGGACGCCAAGTATTTTCTAGCTGAAAATTACCCAAAACGCCAAGGTTTTCCTGGGGCGATCACAAATTATGTCCGGTACCAGCTTGGCAGATGTCAGGCGCAGGTTGACTAGGCGTATTAGAGGGCGTAGCGTACGAGGTAATAAGGAAGGACGCCTCGTGGGAACGCAGAAGGCTTTCTAGAGAGGTAGTAAAGAGGAACGCGGGGAGTCGTTCTAGATTAAGTGGCTAGAGTTGACAGTAGGTCACAATGGTTGGCAGAGGATGAGAGTGAGGTGTGATTAGAATCATGTAACTATTCCTAAAGACAGAAATCAAAGTGTGAAGATCTCGGCCTCGAAAATGAACACTACATAGCTGTCCTCGATAGGCAATAAAGCCTAGTGGGGCTAGACAAGGAACCCATAAATCCTGCCTGAGGCATTTCTCCAGAATCCTTACCGCATATTATTCTGACAATAGTATTACGATAAGATTAGTTTAGATTTATATTATAGTCCTAACTGAGTCGATGACTATTGAGGACTCCTAGAATCTACAAATAAGATACTAGCTACATGTTTTAAGTCCAGTTGCGGGTCTAGGCTTACTCCTAGCCAGCGTATTTGGTCTGCTGCCTCGATAACCACGCCGCTCACACGAATGCCCACTGGCTCCGCGCGTTTGCGTCCGGGGAACTGGAACACCTCCGACATATTGGCATCGAAGAAGGCTGCGTTGTTACTCGCCCACTCCAGAAGATAATCCACCTTCTTCTGAACAGAAGCGGCCGAATCGGTAATGCTGCGCCAGAATCCTGGTATCTCGAAGTTGTCAGCGTAGCTGAACCTCATTTCTGCATTGCCGCTTCGCATACAGTGCCTCTGGGTTCTAAATATTAACCTTGAAACTGGGATATTCAAGGGATTAGTCTTG